AAAAAAAAAAAAAAAAAGTATGATGAATAATTCGCCCAAAGTATATATTACACAAATTATTGTGTTTGTGATTATGTACAATTTATCATTGGCAAAGGATGAAAAGATAATTAATGTGGGTAACAATAATCTTATAACTTTCAAAAAATAATTATTTACGTGCTATTGAAGCATATGAATTTAATATACTGTAACCAAGTAACAATAATTTTATAACATTTTAAAAATAATTATTTAAGGTGTGTTATGGTCTTATTGAAGTGAGAATTTAATATATTGTAACCCAAATACCAGTATTTAATTCTTAAATTATTCATATTGTGGGTTGTTTTCTATAAGCGAAAAAAATAGCCATTAGGAGGCCAAATGATTTATGTAAATTTTGGTTGCTAACTAATGAAAATGAAAGGAATATTTATTAGACAAAACTAATAAATAAATAATGAGGTCTTTTGATTTTCTCGCAGCTGGTCTCACTCTCAAACGATTGAAACTTAGGAAGATGCTACAGTTTCATTACAGAATCATTCCATCGGAATTTGAAATTGTTAGATCAACTATCCCGATGGTTACATAATGATCTAAGGTTACAAATCCCGACGAAATAGTTCCGTAACAGGACTGTAGCATTTACCTGAAGCTTATTTATATTTCACTTGTTTATTAAATAACAAAAAAAAGGACATAAATCAATACCACATGGAATTATGTATTAATAATTTTTCATACTATTTATAGCAAGAAATGTCAATGATTATTATGCATTAACAATTATTATTTGCACTAAATGTTCTATGGTCCATTTCATGCAATAAGTGTGTAGTACATAAAAGTGCATTTAGAGCGAGCTAGGACCATGTCACATAACATGAACGGTGAAATTAAATTTGGGTAAATTTTGACTAGGCTTAATCTTTGCTGATTAAGAGTCAAGGTCTTATACAAGCTTAATTAGGACCACTTAAATGATTAATTGTGTATTTCAATTTTCATATAGAATATAACGATGTCCTTTAAAAGTATTAAAAAATGCTACGGTCTCATTATAGAACCATTCCGTTGGGGTTTGTAGTCGTTGGACATCATGTAATCATTAGGATAATTGATGTAACAGTTAGAGACCTCGACGAAATGGTTCTATAACGGCACTGTAGCATCTCCCAAAAGTATTTATACATAAAATGATGCGTTTGCATGAAGTACACTAGAATAACTATTTCACAGTGCCGTAGAATTTGAATAAGAATAATTTATGAACATAGAAAATGTATCTAAATAG